TAACTTTATAAGATAGAAGAAGATTTCGGAGTTGAGTTCCAAATTAAAAACACCTTTACAGCAAGTAAAATTTTGAAGCTCATCCTAAGAATTGTTAGAAAAAAAATCAAAAGTGAACATTTCACCATCCAAAAGCTTTCAATCCATAGATGTCTGGGATAGAGAAAAGATCAAAATTATGTCGTCTTACATTACCTAATATTATAAACATAGAAACCTGAGATTTTTGGAGATCTTGGATCGGAAATATTAACCAACTGCAGTAGCACTTCAAAAGAAATCCGACTGTTTTTGAATGAAGATTATAAAAGAGCATCATATAATATAGAGCTTATAAAAAGGTTTGTTTGTATACACACATAGTATAAAAATTAGAGATCTGCATTTAAAACTGTAATTTGTGCTTGAAAATTTCATTCCTTTTTTGTTTGTAATGTTTAGACTTTATAGAAATCCTTGTTCGCTAGTATGTGTATATTTAGCAATCCTGGCCTACGCACAATTTTCCACTTTTTTCCAAAACTCACATTATGCTTTCACATCTGGACTCGGGCATTTTTCTAAAGGATTTTCCCTGATAGATGGATCGGCACAACATGGGATCGAATTTGATATATCATCTGCCATTATTCTTACCAATCTCCGATTCTCCTCTAGTGTTTATAGGTGTAAAAGACATAAGTAAATAAACACATTCTAAGTAAGACACAAATCTTCCTCTCCTCTTCAGCAAAAACAAAAGAGGGGTGAGATTACTGAAAAACGTCCGAGACGATAGGGGAACCCAATAATTATGAAGAAATTGATTAATTTCATAACCGAAGTCAAATTTTAGCTATCAGCTCTTCCTTAAACCACTTCTAATCAAAACTACAAAAACGTAAAGCTCGGGATCCTACGTATAAGCGCAGAAATGAACGCTACGCCAATCTGCGTAGTTTCGTGTAGCCGTCTCCAATCAATATCGGCATTCTTTGGAATATGTACGACAGAGTCAAACATTTCACGTTTTTTTGTGGAGAACAGCTTTTTGTTGGGAATTTTCTTTATTGGCATAACTATAGAAAGCATAGAAATTTATACAGAATGTAATTATTTTAAATTTATCAAGCAATACAGCAAAATCGATCGCCCAACTACGTGGGCGCTAGTACATCAAGTTTTCTTGCTCGGCATGAAAAGGGCAATGAATGCATTCACAAACTTAAGAGTACATTTACACAAATTTGATATTCTCTTTGTATCTGAGAATGTAGATTCCTTTTACTTTATGTTCGATTGTAGATTTGCATAACAAGTGAACTCGTTATTATTGAAATCCAAGAAGTTATGGCAATGACCGCATTCCAAGCTCAGATTGATTGTCCAAAAAGTTTAGAAATGACAAAGACTTATTCCTACAGCCTTTAAGTACATTTTATGTTGAATCTTATATCTTCAGATTGATTGGATGCACTGCAGATCAGTCTCTTTCCCTAATTTACTAAATCAGAATTTCACTGCCCTTCTGAAGACCAAAGGGCCATATCCCAACGTACTATTGGTTGTGTAAGTCGAAGAAGGGATCATTTGTCACGACATTTTCGTGACAAAGGCTTTGTTAGAGAGAACTAGGGATGAGAGGTGTTAAATCACTAAGGAACCACAATAGCCCTTTCTTTTCTCTCTTGAAAGATACTCTTAGGAAGTTTCAAATGATACTTGGAAATATCAGAAACTTCTTGTTTACTAGTACTTTGAAGAATTCTAAGTCGCCTAAGAATAGCCAGGATTCCATAAACCTGAACCCTCATTCTTCGAAATTCCAAAGCAAATTTGAACAAGTCTTGCACCGCGACCAGGGAAACTACAATTGAACTCTGCACAGGTTGCCTCTATGCAACTATGTCTGGGTAAACCTTCACAATGTTGTAAGACAACTATGATTTTAAGTATTTATTACAAGGAGGTAGCAATAGAACTATGTACATGAGATCTCTGGAAGATTAAGGACACTTAATAAGGCAGATTGTTTAGGCCTTCGTTGGTGCCTTCTTGGCCGCTTTCGGCTTGGAGACCTTGGGTTTCGTGGCTTTCTTGGTGGCTTTTGCTGCAGCGGGCTTCTTGGCAGATTTGGCCTTGGGTGCTTTCGCCTTCTTCGGGCTCTTGGCCTTCTTCTCAGCCTTAGGCTTCTTGGCAGCTGGCTTCTTAGCGGTTTTCGCTTTCTTCTCGCCTGCTGGCTTCTTGGCAACTGGCTGAAAAGAGATAGTTAAGGAATGATATGGGAGGAATGAATATCCAAACAAAAACTAGACTACTGCAGGAAAACGAGAATAAGAATCACCAACCTTCTTGACTTTGGGAGCAGCAGCCTTCTTTTCTTCAAGCTTGAAGCTTCCAGATGCTCCACTTCCCTTGACCTGCTTAAGGTCTCCCTTGATTACGCCTCGCTTTATGGCAACTTTTAATTGAGCGTTGACCTAAAGGCAAAGTATGAATATATGAAGGGCAATTTAGATAGATAGAATAGAAAGTAATCGAAAGTCTGCGAAACTTTCAAAGTAGATTTGATTCTCACCTTAGCAACATTCTCTCCGAGTTTGTAGTGCTGAAGGATGTACTTCAGGATAGCGGCCTTTGACGATCCAGACTTCTCCTTCAGCTCAGCCACAGCCTTACGAATCATAGCAGAATAAGTTGGATGTGATGGAGCCTTCTTAGCGACCTTAGCGGTCTTAGCCTTAGGTGCCTTAGCAACCTTAGGTGAACTGACTGGAGCAGAAGACATGACGACTGAAGATGAACAACTAGCAAATGAGCTACAGCGACGACATCGCTGCCGCTTATCTACCGCGCCGAGTCCCCCCGTTGCGCCCCCAATCGCGTTCACGGCGCCGCGGACCTAAACTGCGGCAGCCTGTGTGCACCTACTCGGGGAAAACCCGCTGTATCTCGGGGAATTTCCAATTAAACGTAAGGAACTTTTCAGAATGCTTAGAAAAGACTTTTGACTATAGGTCTAAGCAAAAATATTTTTCAATTTTCTTCTCTGCAGTTCTCTAGGCGCCCTCAAA